AAAGTTACACCAATGTCGTTTGAACCCTCCTCTATATATATATATATATATAATCTAAAAGGTCGATTCCCATATTTAGATCTTTTTGAAGTCCACCTTGGAAATAAAGCTCTTTCTTTAATTCTTTTAACTAAGTTCACCAACTCATTGAGCATGCCATATAAAATTTGTTAGATATGAATTTATAAATATTACCAATTATTGATATAGATCTAAACTAAGAAACCATCTAGGAGAATATCCGTTTTAGGAACCAATGTGATAAACGAAGACCAAACACTCTTTAGAAGCCTTACAAGGCAATGAAATTCGTGGACCAAATCGCATGATATAACTCATCCTTAGGAGTATTCCTAACTTTTTTTCTAGAATGTGAATTTGAATCGATGAAGGTACCTAAATCTTATTCCCCTCATAAATCCACACCGCATCCATGATATTTTCGGTTAAAAACAAAAAAAAAAAATAGTTGTAAGGAACTCATTATCGCTAAATTCTAATTTCCTTTACTTCTTTAATTTTTTTACTTGATTTAAGAACTATAATTTGATTATGTACATCCTTATACTTGAGACACATGTGAAAGAACGTTTTGTTAAAATTGCGATCTTCCGACCACCTTAATTACTTTAGCCTTATGAGATATAAGACGTATATACCTTCCCCTATACTACTAAGCTAATTCCTCAATTTCGCTTTTACAAACCACTTTTACTTCGAGTTTGAGGAAGATAAGTTCAATTACAACTATAACTTTGAATAAACATTCTCAAAATTTTTCGTATTCCACTATTTTAATTTATCTTTTTAAGAGTAATTTTAACCTCTCCTTCAAAGCATACGTAAACACTATTACATTTTACTTGTTTAACAATATATACTTACTTACATTTATTAAAATGTTATTATAGATTGAGTAAATAAGTTATTTTACAACATTTTTTTTTTGAAAAAACGTTACTATAGATAGAATAATATTTTTTTATCTCAATATTAATTATTTTCAAAATTAAAATCTTACATTAAATAAAAAAATGTCACGTATAAAAAGTATATTTTTTTAATATCTAATTATTTTTCAAAATTAAAGTCTCACATTGAATAAGTGAATAACACAAAAAAACTATATATAATCATAAAGTTATACATATAAATGAATTTTGATATTTGATATAAATTTGGTAGTAGTTAACTAAGAATGTTTTCAACCTTAAAGAATTTATATAGGGGATTAGGAGACATAAAACATATTTGATAACAACAACTATATTTAAATTTATTATTATTTTATAAATTTAATTAAAACTTAATAATATTATTAAATGGTTACATAAATATCACTTTGATAATATTTAAAAAATATTACTTAATTATATAAAAATGTTATTAAAAATCTTTAGTAATATAAATTATATACAACTTTTGATAATATGTCGTAAAAGCAAATTAAATATTTATACATAATTAGGTAATTTTTTTAAAATATTCTCAAGATTTCTTTTTATTGTAGTGAGCCATCCAACCATCCACCTTAAAGGGAGTCAAATACAAAACTTTTGAAGTACCTATGTCGCACCTAATTATCGTTAAACCGAAATGGTAAAATATATAGGTCCCCAATTGCACATATATTACGATGCAACACCACTTGAAATGATCAGAAATGTCCTCTTATCGCCAAACTAACCAGACACTTTCCATAAGACTATCAAATCCTCTTATAACAAAAATCTATCCAAGTGACTCGCATAGCAAAGCCATCAAGCTTGAACCAAGTAAATTTCTTGATTTTCTTCCCTATAATATATAGGAATAAAAATGAATTCCATTTCATCATTCATCAATGAACTCCTGAATTTCCTCAATAAAATCCACATAGCAACCCCTTTTGTTTCACCTTTTGACTTTACAGCCTTAAAATCCTCAGCCATGCAATGGACGAATGAAATTAACCACGTTTGAACATAAGTAGTTCTTACATCGTCCTCAAATTACACATATATCATAAACATTCACCACCACCAGAGGTTCCCCATTTTGGATACAGGCCCAAGTACCCGTTCTAGAAAACAAAATTTTCAATCTAAATAATAAAAAGCTTTAACGATCCGCCAAAAGTCTTTATTTTCCCACACATTTTCCATGGCATCTTTCACATTCGCTAGCTTTGTTTCCTACAACAATCTAGTATACATCAACCATAGAGGATCAAATTCTACATTTGTTTCATCCTTAGACCCAGTAACCCCCAAGTCGTTGACCAATTCCCATACATTTTCTGCCACATTGACTTCAATTCGCCCAATGATATACCTATTGCAATTCCTTAAGAGTTAGAAAATGAAACCCTAAAACCACGTAAGGTTCCTGAATGTTAGATCTAGCTCAAGAAGCTGCCGAAAAGGTTCCATAACCATTGCTCCTTTCATTAATTATCACTACGTTACACGTACCACTACAAACTTAATTAGCCCACTATATGAATAAGTGTTATTCTCACCAGAGAAAAACTCATCAACTTGATTTCCTTGACATGTACATATCTGTCACCGGTGATAATATAAGCATTATTTGCGGTAAAAGGAGTCTAGATACACTGGATAAATTATTACCTAGATCTTTTAAATATATTAAATATTTGTAGACTCAATCATCTCTACATGATTGATATATATATATATATATAATATGAGTTTTTTAATTTGAAAAAAAACTAATAATATTTAATTATATGTTATGGACACATAGTTAATTACTACCTAATAATTTCTTTATTATTGAATCACTTAACGTTGTCGAATCGGACAAAGCCAAATCGCCTATCAAACTTATCTTTTCTTGAAAACATGCCCATATATCCTTTGCCCCAAATTTATCATGGAAACTTATTAAATAAATAAATAATGAAACCAGATGTGTCACCTTAACAATTTCCTTCTGATCCTCTCATTGATTCCTCCATACCATGGTTTTCAAAAGCTACGACCACAAGATCGCAATATCGTCATTATCACCACTTAACTCCCCTCCACTCATCTTCCATTATCTCTCTATAATATGTCGTTAATCAGCCTAAATTTTTAATGCTTTTATTTTAGTTTGATAAAGACAAATTCTCTTTATTACCGAATCTGTCCTTGTAAGAATAAAGTACAGCCTAAATTTTTAAATAAATTGTGTGATAAAATAAGATCTAATTAAGACAATGTCAAATTAATATCCAACTATTCTTTGCATTGTTTCACTAATGGAAATTATGATTTCTTGGGCTTAACCAAAAAAATAGTTTGTATAAAAAATTAAAAACGTTAAATCAAAAGCATTTGATACTTTGAAAACTAAAAAGAAACATTTATACTTTCTTCCTCAGAAAACTATATTAGATTTCATCATGGATGTACACTACAACAAAATTTATTTTTACCGTCAATTATTTAACAGAAATAAATTAATTATCTTTATTTTATTATTTAATAAAAGTATTAATGACTAATATATAATGGTCACTAAAAATGTATTTATATCACATCAAAATTTATTATTAGTGACAATTATTTATTAAGAAAAACTTTAGTCTCACATTAACTAGAAATACGATAATTAAAGAGTATATAAATGAATAATAACTCTCACTTTACAAGTTTGTTATGTAGGATTGAGTTAAACATATAACTTACTATTCTAAGTTGGTATGAGATTACTCACTATTATCAAACCCAATAATCCTTAAACTTGAAGGGACTAGAAATAAGGTAATTAAAAAAAATTAAAAAGATTATATAAATAAAAGACAACTTTCATCTTACAAGTCCCACATCGACTAGTGATAAGATAATTAAAGAGTATTTGTACTCATTTTACTAGTCCCATATCGACTAGAAAGTAAAAAATGTCATAAAAAGTTATACATTTTTTTCGACCATTATAAGAGCTTTTACCAGTATTTAGAATAAATACTGATAAAAAATTTTGTAATAATTTTTATTGTCACTAAAAATCATATGAAATGTCACTAAAAATATATTTTGTTGTAACGGTATTAACCACTTTTTTTTATCAGCGGGTATTAAACACTTGTTACTAATAACAACTAACAGGGAACTGATTAGCAAGAACTATTAGAATACAAAAAAACACTTAAAAATATTGTAACTTTAGCTTTCTACATTCCAAATTCACCCATATTCATTCTGGGACCAGTTCAACAGAAAATAAACCATCTTCATTTTCAGAAGAACTAATCTGCTAGCTTCGACAGAATCCCCTCCCACCATTGCTTGTAACATAAACTAACAACTTTTTAATACTAAGAAGTACTAACACAAGGGCACAACATTAATATGCATAAGACAAAGTCCTGGTACAGCTACTTAATTAGAGACATATGAGTAACACTCAAAGCCCTTCAATAAACACCTCTAGTAGGGAGAGACGCCTACATTAGTGGGTGCGAAAAACCCATCTTTCATAAGCACGTCCTCTGCTTCCTAAACACACAACAAAAACATTGAGATTAGAAACCCTAGAAATAAGAGTTCCCTTTTACATTAATGAGCTGCCAAAAGAAAAGGAGGTAACAGTAGCTAGGGTTTCCAAGTACCTGACGAACATTAGCTTTCTTCACGGGTTGATGATCAGGCATAAGTCCGAAATGAATGTGTGGAAAATGGGCCCACTGCAAGAAAAATGTGGACCCCACACATGAGAAAGAAAGCATTTATATTTAACCAACAATGCAACAAAAACGAGTTTAAACATATACTGGATTAAACAAAAAGAAATCTCTTCAATTAGTAAGAATTGAAAATAATCTAAAATGGGAAAAGTCCCTAAGAGAGTAAGATTTAGAATCTCCTTGGATCTTACATTCTTTGCAGCTGCACTAAAAGCCTCTCTGTGGCTTATATCAGGATTCCCAGCTTTGATACGTTGGATCTCATCCCTAAAAATTAAATGATGTGAAAGCCATTCAGATGCTATCAAAATAATTAAAAATGTGAAATAAAATTATTTATCATTGTAACTACTAGGAGAAATGAGTTACTAAGCTTCTTTATTTTTCATTTTTGGTGCATGTGTGATAGCAAACTATTCATGAAAACTAGTAATAATATTGCTAGGTAGAACTAATAATATAACATGAAATTAATGTTATTAAACTTACTTGATGAAGCGGTTGTAAGCAGATGGAACTCTCTGTCTCTTCTCTGGAGCTGGACATGCAACACACGGACATTGCTCAGGCAAACAGACAGGAACATTAAATAACTTCGCTGACCTTTTGCCTAATGCATTCTCTCTCTCCTCTATCTCTTTCTCTCTCTATTCTATCATTACCTCATCATTATCTCTAACAATCACTCTCCCAATGGATTCAGCACTATATTTTCGGGGGGGAGAATTCTGTCTCACTCAATGTATACATGAAAGGAGACATGCATAGACGCAAAGAGGAAGAAAACGATTTAACATAATTTTGGTTTGATTTCTTTTATTTCCGTTAAGAAAAAAAAATGATGAATTTTATTTTTCACCCCTTGGAAATTCTATTGTGGTAATTTGGAAAATCAAAGATTACGGAAATGGGTTGCTTCAGTTTGAAAAGAAATGGAATCTTAACGTTTAATCGATTTGAAGAAGAAAAGCTGGATTTCTAGTAGCATTATACAGTCAACATTGATACAGGAAAGGGGGAAAAAGCAATGCATGAGATAAATGTGCTAAAGATTGTTCTCTCTTTGCCACTTGCAGCATACCAAGAAACCTTGGCCACTGTTTCAGATTGACAAGTGAGTTTTGATAGGGATAGAACCTTTTTTTGTGTTTTTGCTTTTCTCCCTTTATTGGTTAAGTGGCAGCACTATGAGCTTAAAAGAAGTGTGAAATGGACTGAATGGTATCAGAAGAGTTTCCTTTTCTTTTTCTCTGGCTTTTCTTTGGCGGTATCAGAAGGATCTCTGGTCACCGCACCCGAGAAGTAGAAAAAGGAAACTCAAGACAAAAGAAATGAAAAACAGGTAGTGGTTTTCAGGTTATTACTTTGCGAAGAAAAAAAAACACATTATATGAAACTATTGCGGCTAATTCAACAAGCGATTAGGTTAAGAAATTAGAGAAAATTCTCACGTCTATTAGCTGATGGAGGCTTAGGGGTTTCTTCAGGCCCTCCTCTCATGGTGCTCATGACCAAATTATTAGGGTTTGGCAGCTGGTTCATCATCATGTTTGTTGAAGGTGCATTTCGAATCTCCTCCTGAAATACCAAACCCAATAGTCATAATTGATCATCACAGTTTTCATTTCAATTATTCTCTCTCAAAAGAGAGTATATCTAACCAAAAAAAACCTAACACACACAAAAAAGAAGAAAAAGAATCGATTAATTAAAAGCCCTAGGCCTAGGTAGCTATTAATAATATTATTATAGTCATATTCATATCATAAAGCACACACATAAATACCAGAAGATTTTGAGGAGTGAAGAAGGAGTGGCCAAGGTGAAGCTGATTGGTAGCAGGAAGAAGCAGTCCACGCATGTTGACTGAGAGAAGGTTGGTGCAATGACCACATCTCACAGTGACAGTCTTGAACAAACTGGTGCAAGGAACACTCACCTAAGAGGGTTTGAAACAACAAGTTAAGAGGTAATTAAAGAGAAGAATTGAAGTGGAAAGAGAAGGGTGATGATACCGCGAGGACAGTGTCACAGAAGTTGCAATGAACATAGCAGAGCTGGTCGGAGGGAGAGAGGTGTTGGTCCGGTGAAAAGGAAGTGGATGAGGATGACATGTTGTTCCTCTTTTTGTTGATTCCCTTTTCTTTGCTTTGCCTTTGGTTTGCTTTCTGATGATTTGATTTGATTGATGGGATTGACTGATCAGTCGCGGTTTTGGTGATGGACAGATAAACTTCCTATGGATCTGATCCTCTTGAATCTTGATTGTTGAGTTACTGTTAAGGAGCTGGCTAGGGAGAGAAAAACAAACAAAGAAAGAGAAAAGAGAGACAGGGTGAAGAGATGCCACTTAAGTATTAAAGGATCGAATACACCTAGAAAGTCTTTTCCTTCTCTCTCCATTTTCATCTCCTCTTACTATATAATATTTCTCTCTAGCTCCATATTTTTTTTCTGCAGCTATAATATTGTTAATTAGTGTTCTTGCAATGCTTTACCATTAAACTCACAATTTTACAGTTGCAACATATTTTCTGTTTATTTATTAAGACGCTTTCACAAAATTTGTAATTTTTTGTGTGCCGCTTATTGCAAGCATAGTTTTGAATTAGAGTCTTGGACTTCAGTTGTAATTGCTCCACCACCATATTCTCACCATAAAAATAGTTGCATATTTAGATTTTATACACTCTTATAATAAAAACTAGTATACCATCGAATAATTATTAGAAAACTCAACAATTTTATCATCTCGAATATATTAAAACATTCATTTGATTCTAAATAAAGTGTGTCTGATTGCAGGTTATCAACAAATGCATTTGAATTCTTTCATGTAAAGTCTAAACATATAATGCTGAAGCTAGTTTATATTAGCTTTGGTGAGATGAGTGTGTTCTATTCTATCCTCAAAAGTGCAGCTAAACACCCAGAAATGCAATTGAAAAATCATTATGAGAAATCATAATCAAGCCACACCGACATGCCTAGGTCTAATAAACTAGATTCTAAAAAGTCCGTTCATTATATTCTATGAAGAATATAGGATATAAATAAAGATGGGAAAAATGAATTTGGAGAAAATGTGTAGTAAATGAATGGTTGGCATTCCCAATGGATATGTGTGAGAGAGAGAGAGAAAGAGCAGAGGCGGCAGAGGTGGGGGAAGGGAGAGCGAAAGGGACGTGTGCATGGGAGTGATTAGCTTTGCCTCATTCACCTGTTGTTTTCAAAGTTAAGAACGTTTACAGTGTGTCCTCGGTTCTCTACAATTCCATTTCGTGATCATATTTTTCATCCTTCTGCATGTCTATCATATCATATCAAATCAAATCAAATCAAATCAAATCTTTGTTCTTTCTAAACTCTCAAATCATCCATCCAACGCGAGCCAGTACTGCTATGCAATCAAGATCTTAGGTGATGTTAGAGCCATCTTGTTTTCCAACCCTTTCAGAGTTCAATGCTAGTGACCCACCCCATTCATTTTTCTTCTGTTCTTTCTTGTAATCAATTCAAATATTGAATCAATCCTGCATACAGTACCTCATTATCTTTATTTCCTAACAATACTGTTCATTGTGATTCCTTTGTGTTCTTTTCCATGGATCCAAACCTTTCTCTTATTTTGCTTTGTAATAACTTACAAAAGTATAAAGTATATATACGTTCACCGAATGGAAACGTGGAGAGAAAGAGACAAGACATATAATTTAAATCCCTTAAAAGTTTAGTCTTTTCTTTTGGGTTCATGTATTGAACTCAATGCTACCAGCATTATTTTTTAATAAGAGTTTGAGTAACTTTCTAATTTAATTAATAATATCTTTTAATCACCAAAAACAATTGCTTTGATAAAACAACAAAAATTCTATATAATTACATTGAATTCAAATAATTAATTTTAAAGAAAAAAAACTTATTCAAATTTCTTTCAAAAACGAATTTTATTATTTTCTCGAAACAAACTATTTTTTTTCCTAAGATTTCCAAAAATGGTATTTAAGGCTCAGACTTTAGTTATATAGTAGTTTTTTTCCTTTTGTTAGATAAAATTCACTAAAAGTGTTAGAGATCGATATCCCAACTCATACACAACAAACCAATTAATTAGAAGTTTAGAACAATCTAACTCATATACTCAAACAATCCATAGGATTTATGCACCAAATTAAATAACGAGATTACAACAATGATAATCGTATATTCTATCGGGAAACTAAGTCTAAAACCAGAGTATAATCAAGACTGCCAAGGATACATATGAAATCAAACTAACCATAAATAATCAAGTACCACTATGGAGTAATCATATAGGCCAAACTATAGACTGCCACAATAAATATTTCTACAAATGATATCACGTAAAGGACAACTTTTCACCTATTTTTCTCTCTTCATCATTATATTGTTTTTTCCTTGAAAAATAAATTGGCCATTCTAACATGAGCAAATAGGAATGTTCACTTATTAGAATCAACTTGTGGAACTTGATAATCCTTATCAAACTAATTAAGTTGATTTGGATTTTATTCTGATTCAAATTAGATCCAAATTAAACCCATTAAAATATAATGTTGATTGTTTTGGATATCAAAACTTATACTTTTAAAGCTTAAACTAAACTAATTATTTATGTATTATCAATTTTATTATTTTTTTATTGATTAACATAGTAAATATGTAACTTTGTGTAGTTGGATAATTAGATGTATGATGACGGATTTAGCTTCTATTTATATGTTAAACATTTTAGTTTGTGTTAGACATTTTGATTATTTTTTCTTATTATTGTAAATGGAATAACTAGTATGATTTAATCAATTAACCCTCAATAATTTTTCATAATTTTTATTTTTATTTAATTAGTATAAGTCAATTACCATCAAATATGTAATTTGCATTTTTTATAACAACATATTTATCAATTTTGAGACAAAATCATGCTTATTTTTATTTTTTCAAAACATTTTTTTCCTTTTCTTTTTTTATTGGATATTCTTTGACCACAACTTTATCAAGCTGTTGAATATCAAGTTTGTTTGATTCGAGTTAGATAAAAAAAAATATTTTCGAATTTGAATCAAATAAAATTAATCAATTCAAATTTTATTTTTCCTCAAATATGAACTAACTCAATTCTTTTAACACCCTCATGAGCAAGGAGTGAAAAACTTTAAGAGTTTGGCCAAATCAAATGAGATAAACTCTCACATTTGATTAGTTATAGTTTTGAATTTTTGATAGATGTAAGTTATTTATAATTTTATATTTCGGATGTTTTGGATTGGAACGCCATCCTCTTATCTCAATTCTTTTTAAAAGCTTTATCTTAAAAAATTGTTTACCAAAACAATAATAGAATGAGTGGGAAAAAACAATGTAATAAGACTGAAAAATCAAGGATATTAAATTATGTGAATGAGACACTTGGATACTCTATCTACCTAATAGTTCATGGAGGGGAGCATTATTCCGTGGCGACGCCTTTACCATTCAAAAACATTAATCTCTCTCGGGTTTTTTTTTTTTTTTTTTTAATTTTAGAGTTTCAGATATACATTCTCAAGTACTGGTTGATTTGAGAGTCATTTACTTCATCATCCAAGGCACAACATGGTACGTATTTTTTTAATAGATGAAAAAATGGTCCGTATGTTAATCGTTTTTGTCTTACAATGGTGTACTAAAAGACCCATTTATTTATTTAATTTACTTTTGTTTTTATTCATTTCTTTTATTACTAAGCTTTTATGAAAATCTATCTCACTCAATATATATATATCATCTTCATTTGATTTACTTTTCAAAAACTTCGAAAATGAAAGAAATGAAAAAAAATATAATACAAGATGCTTTCCCCCTTTTGACATAGTGACCAAGCGGCTCATCTTAATATTAGGCTCAATTTAATTTAATTTTTTCATAGCTTCTTATTAATTATGTACTTCACAATTCATTTTATAGTGAAAATGAAAAAGGTCGCTGTGACTATGATTTTGGAACATTATTAGTAGGGGATTAAGTCGTGGACTTAATTAAATTTAGATCATCTTTGTCAGGATTATGTGTTAAGGTGGAACATTTTACTCTATTTTTTTTAGTAGCCAAAAGATCTTATGTTATGTTTGAAATCTTTGTGAGACCTGACTTATTGTATATGGATGATTGGATGCCCCTTATACCTCCAATCTAATAACATGTATATTTTCTGATAATAAAAAATAGTTGAAGAACCATTTTCTCTAATTAACATAATACATATTGGGAGCCCTAGCATCTAGCTAAGTAATCCATTTTTTAATATATAAGAAACGTATAAGTCATCTAGCTAACCTGAGTTAGTGAAAAAAACTTGGATGATATTTTATTTTTCTTTCTGTGCGTTAATCGTTAATCAAAATTAAGGTTACTTCATTAATTATCTTATATTAACCTTTAATATCAGTCTTTATTATACTAAAATAAAACTCTAATTTTGATTAAAAACAATCTCACAAACACTTGGAGTAATGTAACTACATTTTATCTCAAATCACATAAAAACATTGCAAGATAATGATTTTTAATAATGAGAAATGATAACAAAATTACTTTTTCCTCAACCTTATATATTAATTAAAATTATTTAAAAATTACAAAATTATTTGTAGGATTCATTAATAAGATGAAATTCACGTAAAATTGTGGTAACGAATTTTTAAAAAAATAATAGCAATTATGTTAAAAGAATGTGTTACTGACAATTTTTCTTTCAATTAAGATTAAATCATATATATTTTGGCCGTAACATACATAAATACTACAAATGAAACTTATACACATTACGGGAGGAAAAATATAAGTTTTGACCCTAATGGTCTTCATTAATTACTAAAGATTTTATATATGTGAAAAAATAATCTATTGTCCTAAAAATTGTGAGATTATTCTATAAAAAAAAAAAAACATTGTGAGATTATATACTGGCAGTATAATTGTTTATTTGTATTATATTTGGCAACCAGTTTTTTTTTTTTTTCCTTACATGCATATTACAAATATAAGAGTCGTCTAAATATAAAGTTACTAAAAATTCGAGGATAAGTCTATTATAATAAAAATATATATTTTTTATTTAATTTTTATTAAAAATTAAAAGGTCATATATATATTGATTAAAAGACCCGACGTATATTTATATATATTTTTTTACACCAATATTTATATATCATTTAAAGTAGTAAAAACCTTTTTTAAATTTTGTTTTATGCATCATTCACGTGACAAATACCTGTATTTTTACATTATTTATAAGAAGAATAACTAAAAACATGAAGAGAGAAATAAAACAAATATTTTAAATGTAATATGATTGATACATAATTTTGTTTCTTAAATATGTGATCAGAAACTTGATTTTTAAATTATGTATATAAAAAAATAATTATTAAAAAAGTCAATCTTTTAAATAAATACATCTAGTAATTATACCTTAACTTTCAGCTTTAAAAAAATAAATAAATAAACAAACAAACAAAACATAGGAAGAAGTTGTGTGTAGGTTGATTAATTATATTCGCATAAGCTTCACATCTTAATTACGAGTCCACAATAAAATTGACTCACGGATATGACAGGGA